GGGCTACACAGAGAAACCCTGTCTCAGGAAAAAAAAAAAAAAATATATATATATATATATATATATATATATATATATATATCTCAGTTAAACTACACTTGGGGTATACTTAAAAAATATTTAACTTTTAAAAGAATCAAGCTCTCTCTCTCTCTCTCTCTCTCTCTCTCTCTCTCTGTGTGTGTGTGTGTGTGTGTGTGTGTGTGTGTGTGTTGGATTCCCCCACAGAGCTAGAGATACAGGAAGTTCTGAACCACCACTGGGAATCAAACTTTGGTCCTCTGTGAGAGCTATATGTGCTCTTAACCACTAAGCCATCTCTCTAGGCCCTTTGAGTAAAATTCTAAGTATGAGCTTTAATCATTAATTAAAAAAAGCAAAAGCTAGAGAAAGAGCCATTTATGGTGGCTCAAGCCCGTAATCTTAACACTCAAGAGGTTGAGATGGGTGACTGCCTAGAGTTTGAGACCTACAAATTACATACATAGAGTGAGTTCCAGACCAACTTGGCTTAGAGTAAAACCCATTTTAAAAATTAACCAAAATGAAAAACAATGATGGAGAAAGAAAAGTATTATTAAATATGAATGTATTTTTCATGATTAACCATCAATATGAAAAGGACAAAATGCGTGAACTGTTCTAACCCCATAAATTTAGATAACTTGAAACATCTACATTGTTACTACAATTTATCCTTTGTCTTTTTTAAAACTTTTTTATTTTTACTTTTTTTCTCTTTAGGTATCCCTGCTGGCCTCAAACACGCTGCACAGCCCAGGAAAGACTTAGACTTCTCTTCCTGCCTCTGCCTCCGAGTGCTGATCCCAGGAGAGCGCCAGCTAGGTGGTACCGAGGACCCAGGTGACAGAGCTTCCCGCCGGCATGCTAGGCCGGCACTCTGCCCACCGCAGCCCCATCCTTTATTACTCATGCCATACTTTGTGCTTGCTCTCCTGACACTGGGCAAACTGCTATATAGCTAAGAACGTGTTGGAATGGTAGAAAAGGGAAAAATAAACAGTCAAACTGAAGTTCCGCCAGGATGAACTCCAAGGCTAGACCAATGTCATGAACAAGAGAACTTTAACACTCGACGAGGGGACGTGACAGATCTTCACTCTTAAAAACTCCGTTCTGGAGGTTGCATCTTGCTATCTTAACTGTCCAGTAGGTTCCAAATCCTGTAGGGTGACTGCTAACAACAGTCTCGACTCCCTTGTGTCGGGCTCAAGTTTGATCTCTACGACTTAAAGACCTGGCTCGTCCCGAGAAAAAAAGCGTCCGTAGCCGGGCGGCCGCGAGCGCGCGGTCTTGACAGCCGCTCTCCGCCCCTCGCCAGCCGCAGCCCCGGGAGGCCGCCCCTCCGTCCTGCACTTGCTCCCCACTTCCTTCTCTCGGCCACGGCCCGGCTTCAGCCCAATGGACGAGGAAGAACAGCACGTACCTTCGGAAGTGAGGCGAGAGAAGGGCTTGAGCAGCTCGGCGAAACTGAGGTGGTTGAGGCGGGTGAGCCGCTCGGCTTCGTCGCTGCACAGCGCGGCGACACAGGGAACGAAGGAGTCGGGGATGAGCTCCTGCACCGACTGCACGCACTGGGCCATGGCCGCAGCCGGGCGCCCGGCCTCCGCCCCGCCTCGGAGCCGAGCGTGCCGCAGCTGCCTGCCCGGCCGGGTGCGGCCCCACTCCGAAGCCTGCAGCCGACTGCGCGGAGCCGCCGCTGCTCCGGCTTTTGGGGCCCGGGCTCGTCGCTGCCTCCTCTCAGCGCTCCCCGGAGCTTTGCATCCCACCCAGCAGGTGGGGACGCCGACCACCGCCGCTCGGTCCTCCCGACGGCAAAGTCTTGGTCACTGTCCGATAGGAACCGCCATGTTGGGCCGAACCCTGACCCGCCGGCAGCACCACTCCCGGCAAGCCCCGCGCGCGCGTCCCTCACGTGACGGTGTCAAAGACGCGGTAGGGGCGGGGCCGGGGCGGAGGGCTGGCAAACGGGAGCTACGGAAGCCGGTTGGAAGATTGGAACCGGAAATACTGTGACGAGTGGGTTTCCCTACCGGCCAGGGGCGGGGTTGTGAGGCGGGTGGGCGTGGCCTGGCGAGCGGCTTTTGGCCAGTTCTCCGGCAGGTGCCTGGCACGTCTGTCAAGGTGATGGCTGATCGCGTAGGCCTGGCCTTCTTGGCGTCCCCAAAGATCTCATCTGGCTGCAGTAAGCTACTGATGTGATAACTTCGCGCTACTTTCTGACTGGTCGCCCCGCCTTCCCCGAGGTGGGCGGCGACCGCTTGCCCGAGAAGGGCCTAGGGCAGGTGCCTAGGGGTTCACGCTGTGGCGCCTGGGACGACTGTGTATCCTCTGAGCAGCGCCACGCTTTTAGAAGCGGACTGCCACAGACGCGCTCAATCACCGAGCAGAAAAATGTGCTGTTGAGGGCGCTTTAATTAGCATGGAATGTAAGGGGAACGTTTTACTGGATCTCTGGGGAGGGATGCCTTTAAATATCGTCAGTCTTTTTTTTTTTCTTTCTTTTTTTTAAGACGCAGGCTAGGGTGCCTTGCACTTGTTTCTCATACATCGCTTTCCGGCTGTTTGGATGTCTTGGAACTCCTGCTTCAGTCTCCGTAGTACTGGGGTTACCGGCTTTCACGACTACGTCCGGCTCCGCCTCTCCTTTTCCTTTTTAGAGTATTTACTTTATGGCAGTGGAGAAACCAGTACTTATATACTGTGTGGCTGGCCATCCTTGCATACTTCAGACTTGTCAGCCCCCATAATGATATGACCCAAGCCTAAAAGAAAATAGCTAAAAGGTAATTACCAGAAGCTTGTCACAAGACAGAGGGAAAACAAGACAGAGTTTACCAGACCAGAGACTGGGCCTTGCGGTGGCTATTAGCAGAGGCATGTAGATCTCTTTGAATATAAAATCACCCTGGTCTATGTAACAAGTTACAAGCTAGTCAAGGCTGTGTGCAATAAGACCCTGTCTCAAGGGAAGTGGGGGTATTTCCTTCCTACCCTGGTCATCTCTTGGCAAAGTATTATTTGAACTGTAGAAATCCTTAAAAGAGATGAATTACACTGGGCACCTTAACACATTGGGGGGGGGTGCTTTTGTTTGTTTGTTTGTTTGTTTGAGACAGGGTTTTTCTGTGTTACCACTCTGGCTGTCCTGGAACTCACAGAGATCAGCCTGCCTCTGCCTCCCAAGTACTGGTATTAAAGGTGTGCGTGCACCTCCACCACCCAGCTTTACCAGATTTTTTTAAGTACAGAGTTTCACTCATTATGTATCCTCACCTGGCTTGGAACTTGCTATGTAGACCCAGCTGCCCTTATACTCAGAGATCTGCCTGCCTCCTCAGAGCTGGGATTAAATATATGTGCTACCATGCCCAGTGGCATCAGACTTTTTAATCAAGACTTTTGCAACATCAAAACAGAAGTTAGTGGGGACAGAGGTGGCTCAGTGGCTAAGAGCAATTACTGCTTTTGCAGAGGACCTAAGTTCAATTCCCAGCACCCACATTAAGTGGCTCACAGCTGCCAGTTCCAGGGTACTTGACAGTCTCTTCTGACCTTTAAGGACACCTGTACTTATGTGCACATAGACATGAGCATGCATACTATAAATAAATCTGGAAAGAAAAACAAAATCGGATGTGGTAACACATATCAGTAATTCCAGGCTGGAACTGCCAGTTGTGGTGCACGCCTTTAGTTCTAGCACTCAGGAGGCAGAAGCAGATGGATCTGTATGAGTTCGAGGCCAGCCTGGTCTACAAAGTCAGTTCTGGGACAGCCAGGGTTATGCTGAGAAACCTTGTCTCGAAAACCTCCCCCCCCCCCCCAAATCGTCTAAAACAAGATTGTCAGCCTGAAATACAAAACAAGACCTTACCTGGGGAAAATGTAAGCTGAGCATAGTGTAACATGCCTGCCATCCTGGCACTGGGAAAGTGGAGGCAGATAGACGGGTGTTCAATGCCATCTTCTGCCATGTAGCAAGTTCCAGATTAGTCTAGTTGGATTTTTTTTTTTTTACTCTAGCCACATGTTGGGACGCCAGCATGTTGTTGTTTGTTTTTTATTAATCTTTGGCTCCTTTTGGCTTTTGGAGGGACCCACAACCCAGGTCCCAAATCACACACAGAGAGACTTATACTTTCTTATGAATGCCCGGCCTTAGCTTGACTTGTTTCTAGGCAACTTTTCTTAAATGATCCTGTCTACCTTTTGTCTCTGGACCTTTTCCTTTTCTTACTTCTACATATCTTACTTTTACTTTACTCTGTGGGTGGCTGACCCCTGACATCCTCCTCTCCTTGTCCTCTTGTTCCTTTGCTTTCTCCAGATCTTTCCTTCTATTTACACTATGCCTGCCAGCCCTGCCTATCCTTTCTTCTGCCGTGCTCTTGGCCGTTCAGCTCTTTATTCGCTCATCAGGTATTTTTAGACAGGCAGAGAATCACAGCTTCACAGAGTTAAACAAAAGCAACACATCTTTACATCATTAAACAAATGTTCCAGGGCATAAGCAAATGTAACACAGCTTAAAATAATATTTTCAACAAGTTATTTGTAAATGCATGAGACTCTGTATTTAACAACATCAAAAAGTATATCTAGGCAGTGGTAACTACATCTATAATCTCAACATCCGGAAGACAGAAGCAGGATCACCAGCACAAGTTCAAGGCCAACCCGAGCTACAGAGTGAAAGGGGTGTGGTCTGTGAGTGTAACAGAGAGAGTTGACTCGCATCTGTAATCCCATCTTTTGAGATGCTGAGGCAGGATGATTTCTGAAAGATCTGGGCTACATAAGACCCTGTCTTAAAAAATAAATATATAACATGCTGGTAGGTCACTCTCCTGAAGTTTTGGGTTTGATCCCCAGTTATTAAAAAAAATATTATCCAGGAGGTGATGGTGTATATTTGTAATCCCAGTGCTCCAGAGGCAGAGACAGGCAGATCTCTGTGAGTTAGAGCCCAGTTTGGTGTACAAATCAAGTTTCAGGACAGCCAGAGCTGTTATACACAGAGAAAACCTGTTAAAAAAAAAAACAAAAAAAATAAACCAGAAGTTAAGGTTTTACTAGCTTAAAGTGTAGGTAAAGGAAAAATATAGGTCATAGGAAAGGGGGCGTGCGACAAGTATAATCCCAGACTTCCCCTCACATCTCTGCTTCCATCTTCATTCCTAGGGGGCCTTTCTCTGCAGTGTAGGACCTGCCCACATGCCCAGATCCCACACTCCCATTTTAACAAATTAAACAGAAATGGAACTTCTCATTCCCAGAATCAGTCTGTCAATAGCCGGGAATGCTTGTGATTTGTTCCACTCGACCATCTGCCTTGCCCTGAAGTCAATCAAGCTCCAGGGAGGTTATTGTTAGCTATGGCCAATCATGGTCATAAATAGCTCTGCTCTTCTAGTAAGGAAGATAGGATTTACGACTATCAGACTAGAGATGGAAATGTTTGCCAGCCAAATACAAAAATCATATATCCCACCACAAGCTAATCATTGGCTTCTGTATAACCACATATTGCCTTCTTCCATAGCTACAATTTTAAGAATGCCTCTACCCAATAATTATCCCCTTTACTACTGAAAACAGACTCATCTTCTATCTGGAGGCAGCCATACAGAAACCATCATAGCTAATCCCAAACAGGGATCTCTGGATGTGGTTCTTCATAGTCTGTGACCAATAGCATTCTGTTTATTTATTTATGAGACTGGCCACCAACTTACTATATAGTCAAGGATGACCTTGAACTTCTGATCTTCCTGCCTCCACTTCCCCAGTGCTAGGATTTCTCCATTTTGTGTGGTTCTAGAGATTTAAAGCGGGCTTTCATTCGTAGTAGGCAGCAATTCTACCAACTGAACTACATCAAATTTCAGGGCAGCCAGAGCTGTTACATAGAGACCCAAATAGTTTTTCAAATTTTATTATGGGAATTTATTTGTATTTGTTTATGTGCCCATACACATTATACATATGTGGGGGTCAGAGGACAACCTTTGTCTCCTCTACCATGTGGGTCCTGGGAATAGAACTCAGGATATCAGGCTTGGCAGCTAGCATCTTCCTAAGTATTCATATGTACATATAGAAAGTGGGTGAATTTAATGTAGTCTTCAGAGTCACCAGGTAGTAGAGGTAGACCTTGAATTCCTGATCCTTCTGTCTTCCTGCTGGGTTTACAGGTATATGACACTATGCCTGGCCTCTAGCTGTTTAAAGTGAAGACATAGGTGTGGGTATAGCTCAGAGGTAGAGAGCTCGCTTAGCATGTGCAAGGCTATTGGTTTAGTCTCTAGTACAATGAGAAAGAAGAGGGAGGGTATCATATCAAGCTATTGGTTCTTCGGTTAGTGCCATGCCCACTACTTTTTTGCAGTACAATAAAGAGATCAGTTTTCTTTGTTAGAAACAAAATCAAAAAATAAAACTGTCATTCAATAATTTCACAACCCACTGGACCCAGTAAGTTCTAGACTACCCCTATCTCCCAAGGGGGCTGGAAATATTAAGGTCCAGGGTTCTGTTGCTAAGTCAGAAGAACCAATGAATGAAGAGAATAAGTACAAGTCAATAGCCAGGTGTCTCCACACTGTGCCAGGAATGAGGCACTATGCAGGATGTGTTTGCAGGTCTAGCTGATGCTCTCCTGTTTCTATGCCGCCTCTGGACACTGGCTGTGCTTATATTACATGTATTTTGAATAGCTCACTGTGTCCATAGCTTGGTCATATCCTACCCTCAAAGCCAAAGGGACAAAGTTGGCCACAGATGAGTAAACACTTGTTGAACAAAGCGCAATGGTGGGACACCTCAAAACTGAGTCATTAGGCAAGTCTGTCACCATTGTACATCAGAGTGTACTCAGACAAATCCAGGCGATATCTTCCTGCTGAGATAGGAATAAATATCCACTCATTGCTGATAACTGTCTTAGTTGGCATTTCTATTGCTGTGAAGAGACACTATGACCATGGCAACTCTTACAAAGGAAAACATTTAACTGGGAGCTTGCTTACAGTTCAGAGGTTAGTCCATTGTCATGGCAGGAAGCATAGCAGCTTGCTGGCAGACATGGTGATGGGGAAGTAACTGAGAGTTCTACATTTGGATCTGAAGGCAGCATGAAGAGAGTGAAACTTGGTCTTGTTTGAGCATCTGAAACTTCAAAGCCCGTTGACAATGACACACTTCCTCCAACAAGGCCATACCTTCTAATAATGCTACTCCCTATGAACTTCTGGGGGCCATTGTCAGTCAAACCACCACACTGACCAAAGGAACCATTCTACCAGGCTTAGTGAACCAGGATACTTACAGATGCGTAGATCACTGCTAGTCAGCAGTGTGAGTGATGACGCAGGAAAGCTGCAGCCTTGAAACTCCCTATACCGCCTTCAGTCACCATGTTCAGATGTGGGAAGTGAATGATGGGGCAATTAACTTTCCTGGACAATCAACATGAAGTTAGAAACAGAATTAGCTTCCCTTCATCCCAGGGGCTTCACTGTGAGGAAGTTGCTTTCCCACCAACCTTTCTTGCTTTGAACACACCTACAGACATTTTGGCTTACACTCATATATGGTGTTTGTGCTGGCTAATCTGATGTCAACTTGACACAAGCTAGAACTGTCTGCAAGGAGGGAGCCTCAGTTGAGAAAACTGGATGTAAAGCGTTTTCTTAATTAGTGATCAGTGGGGAAAGGTCTCGCATATTGTGGTTGGTGCCATCTTTAGGCTGGTGGTCCTGGGTTCTATAAGAAAGCAAGATGAGCAAGCCATAGGGAGCAAGCCAGTAAGCAGCACCCCTCCATGGTCTCTGCATCAGCTCCTGCCTTCAAGATCCTGCCCTGCTTGAGTTTCTGCCATCGCTGCTTTTGATGATGTGTTATAGAACTGTGAGGAAAATAAACCCTTTCCTCCTGCAAGTTGCTTCTGGTCATGGTGTTTCATCATAGCAATAGTAACCCTAACTAAGACAGTGTTATAGCAAGATGCTTGTCACTTTACAAGATATTTATCTTTCTGAAGTCTCACGTTATGTTTTTTATGCTTAGATAGTTGGTGTTAGGGACTAGAGAGATGGCTTAATAGTTAAGAACACTGCTGTAAAGCTAGAGAGATGGCTCAGTGGTTAAGAGCACTGATTGCTTTTCCAGAGGACCCAGTTTAATTCCTAGTGCCCACATGGCAGTTCACAACCAGTGACTGTCTCCAGGACCTGACACCTTCTTCAGCTTCTTCACCCTCTTTTGGCACCAGGCAGACATAAACATACATGCTGGCAAAGTGTCTATATACATAATTTTGTTTGAAGAGAGTACTACCACTCTTCCAGAAGAGCTAAGTTTGGTTCCCAACATCCATGTCTGAGATCTCATAACCCATATATAACTCCAGCTCCAATGGATCCATCACCCTCTTCTGGCCTCTGTGGGGTAACATTAAAAATAAACCCTAAAAAATATTTTTAAATTTTGTTATATGTGTTTGAATGTCTCTAGTCCTCTGCAAGAGCATGTTCTCTTAGCTCCTGAACCATGTCTCCAGCTCCTAAAAAGTATTAGGCTCAGAGGTTAAGGGCATTGCCTGCTCTTCCAAAGGTCCTGAGTTCAATTCCCAGCAAACACATGGTGCTCACAGCTATTTGTAATGAGGTCTGGTGCCCTCTTCTGGCCTGCAGGCATACACACAGATAGAATATTGTAAACATAATAAATAAATAAATAAATAAATAACAAAGTTGGGACTAGAGGCCAGTAAGATGGCCAGGATGCCTGCACTTACACTCGCACACCATATACTCATAGTAAATATTTCATGTTGATGCTAGAATTTTTGGGTTCATTTAAAGTTGAAGACCTAAGTCTACTGTTCAACGCTCTGTAATTACTTTGAATCATTCTAAATCAAATGAAGTGTACAACAAAACTGTAACTGCTTTCACTTCTTCCAACAGTAGATGGTGCTGTTGAACATAGTAATTTGTAATTATAAAAATTTGTAATCTCAAATATATAGTTATACCATACAGACCTAGGTTCAGTTCTTAGCACACACATAGTAACACACAATCATTTGTAATTCCAGGCCCATGGGATCCAGTGCCTTCTGTGGGCACTGCACACCACCACACATGATGCACAGACACTTACAGGGAAGTCACCTGTACACATAAAATAAGAGGGAAACTTTTAAGTTAATTACACTCAAATATTTTGTGATATGCTAACTTAAATAAAAGAAAGGTTTAAATATATAATTTATGGGGTGTGAATGTAGCTCAGTAGTAAATCATTTGCCTAAGATACAACTTTATCATTACTAGACCAAGTCCTTTCCTCCTGTGCTAACCTTAACTCTGGCTCATATCTTTTGTTTTATTTTAGTCAGATCTTCACATGGCCAAGGCTGTCCTTGAAGTCATGATCCTCCTGCCTCCACTTCCCAAGTGTTAACATTTTATAGAGGAGCTTAAGACACAGCTTGGCAGCTAAGTTAAGAGTGCTTGCTACTCTTCCAGAAGACGCAGAGTTTGATTCCCAGAACCTGGCTCAGACGGCAGCTCTAAGGGGTCCAAAGCACTCTTCTGGCCTATGCTGGGCTTACTGTTCTAGAGGTAGTGGGACTTGAGAGAGTAGAGCCAATATGCGAGGCAGACTAAAGTCTCATGCAATAGCCAGCTTTATTCAGAGCATCAAACAGTTTATACTCTGAGGGTTAAGAAAGGTCATATGAGTAAAGTTCTCAAGAGTTTAATCTGTATACAACTACAAGGACAAGCCATACAATACAGAAACCATGCTTTTCCGTCAAGGCACATAAACAAACAGCAAGAGCTCTACCAGGGAAGAGCGTGAAAACATATTCCAAGAACAGGTCTGTATTTTGAACAAATTGAGGTACAAGACTCTTAACTTGTTTTCTTGGAGTTTTTTTCACAAGTACTCAGAATTCTCCTCACAGAACTCCATTCTTGGACTGTGTTCCAAAACGAAGGCATCTGCACATGCATGGCACAACTTACACACACACACACACACACACACACACACACACACACGAGACAGAGACACAGAGAGAGATTTTGAAGTTATTTAAGCTAGTGAGATGGTTCAGTAATGAAAGGCATTCCCATTCAAACAAAAGCCAGAGAGTGAGGCACAGACAGATATTTCCAGAAACTTCGCACACATCAGATACTTCTCCAAACCCTAATTCGTAACAAGGCCATGGCTGGGTCAGTGGTTAGGAATGCTTGCTGCTCTTGCAAGGGGTCTACAGTTCAGTTTCCAGTACTCACATTTGGTAGCTCACCTATAATTCCAGCTCCAGGGAATCTAGTACCCTTATCTGGTCTCCATGAGGACGGGAACAGATGTGGTAATGTGGCACACACCACACCCACACCCACACCCACTCACACACAAATTCAATTTAAAAACTTTAGAACTGTTGGGATTAATGAGTCCTGGCCTTCAGCTGCTCTTCCCTCCTAGAACCTTCTAATTAAAGTTACTAGAAGCTGTGCCTAGCTTAGAGGATCAGAGGATGGGATTTTCACCTGTTGGCTATTGACTGCAGTGTATTTAAGCCTGCATGGTGCTAATAAAGAGGGGCTTTGTGGTATCAGTGTTTAAAGGTCTGTGTGCCAGTCTTTCTCTGCGTCGGTATTTTCAACCTCCAGCCCTTTGCCCGAAGCTGGCGAACTGGGATCTAATGCATAGAGCACAGATGGGGCTACGGTGTGCGGCATAGAACAAAGCCAACCATGATATTTGCAAATTGTGATTCTCAAATTGGGTGGCTTTGACTGCTCTCCGTGGTTCTGAACGGGGCTTACTCATAAAGACTCAAGCCTACTTCTCTAATAATGTTCCTTCATAAATCCTTCTGTGCTGGCAGGCAAAGTAAAGACAAAAATGTCAATAAAAGAAAAACAGAGAAAACAGAAGAAGGAAGATAAGTACAGTGGATAATTACTTACAAATTCGGGTATAAAAAACAGGAAATTCACTTTGAGATTTTCAAATACTTTGAAATACTATCCAGCCTGGCCCAGTGGTGCACTTCTTTAGTCCCAGGAGGCAGAGGTAGTTGGATCTCTGTGAGTTCAAGGCCAACCTAGTCAACACATGAGCTCCCAGGCCACATAGAATTACTTGATGAAATCTTGTCTCAAATTAATTAATTAATTAAAAAACAACAACAAAAAGTTTTAATTATCTAATTGTGGTGACACCTTAATTTAATGCTTAAGACGTGAATCAAAAGTTCAAGCTCATCTTCAGCTGCTTCAAGGATTACTAATTAACTCTGAGTTACCAATAATGAACAAGTGTTAAATTAAGGAAAGAAATAAAAGCACTTCCCCTTGGAGTCATTGAACCAAGAGTGCATCCACATTTGAATTCTCTGCTTTGTGTTCCCTGTGTCTTTTATCTACTGTCTGTCTGTTGCATGAGTCTGAATCTGTGCCTGCCTCTGTGTGTGTCCCTGTGTGTCTGTCTGTTCTGCCTCTGTGCGTCTGTTCCTAACAAAGGGTTTCCTCTTTCTTTATTGAACAACATAAAAAGCATCACATGGGGATGGAATGGGAAACTTACAGAAATATATAATAATTATTCTAGGAATTAAGTCACTATTTCCAACTGACTCAGAAATAAACATCGTTGAGGATCAACCAGTATCCGTTTATGCTAGATTTTAGGTTGCTTTCAACTTCTGTACTTACTGCTTTCAGCAAATGGCACACGTGTAGTATCTGGGCCAGGTATGGAAGAGTACATAACATTACAGCTATGCATTAGCTGTAATTAGGCAAGGTTGTAAAAGTTGATTACATGGGAAAAACAAAGCAATTAATGTTGCTTGTTATATTGTTCTTTTAACCTCAGGTTAAACAAGCAGTTTGAGTACACGGTAGGCTAGTAGTCTAAAATCCTAGGTGTATTAATAGCTCTGGCTGTGAGGCTCAGCAAAAGTTCCAGTCTTTTAAAATATAAGAGATATTCTCAGAGTACATCATTGCCACACGCTTCAAAAGGTTTGAGGCCAGACTTGGCTATTTGAGGCCTTGCGAGGGGAGGGAGTTCTAGCTAATGTCAAAGTTACAACAAACTAACTCCCATACGCCATATTCACACCCATTAAAAAAAACTACTGGAGAATTTTTTTTAATTTTTGAAAGTTAATTATTTAATTTTATGCCTATGAATTTGCTGCATGTGTGTATATCCCCTGTGCTTGATTCCATGGAGATGCTAGCACTACAGCATCTTACTACTACAGGTGAGTAATGTCCAGCCTCAACAGTCAGTCTTTCCAGTCAATCTGAAAATGTCTACACTGTCTGTTAGCTGGGTATGTGTTATTGGGGATCTGATTTTTTTTCTTTCTCTTACAGCAATGGGCTGGGTTAGCAATGAGGCAAACTATTTTTAAGAA